CTTGATAGTAAAACTATTTTATAGAAATTTAATAGTCATGAAGAATTTTATGTAGATGGAATTCAGCAAAAACTAAAGGTATTTATTTTGTTAGTGATCGTTTTATATTTCTGACTTTATATTGATTAAGGTTTCATTTAATGATTATTATGAATATCCGTCAATCAGTAGTTGTTATAACAACATCCAACAATAATATTAGTAGCAACAAATAGCAAACGACGTCAACGAATCATCTTTTTTTGAGGATGGCAATAAAGATTAAGATTCCAGTTTATGTAGGTGTTCGAAGCAAGTGTTAAGGACAAGATCTATGAAGCTTGAAAAATATACTAATGAACATTTTATCAATTATTCAATAGCTTGTATAGGAGTGATCGAAGTAAGCATTAAGGACGAAGCTTGCAAAATATACTAACGAACGTTTTATCAATTATTCAATAGTTTGTGTAGGAGTGATCAAAGTAAGTGTTAAAGACAAGATCTATGGAACTTGCAAAATACACTAATGAACGTTTTATCAATTATTCAATAGTTGTATAGGAGTGGTTGAAGTAAGCGTCAAGGACAAGATCTATGAAGCTTGCAAAGCAAGTTTACAAAAATAAACGTTTTATCAATCATTAAATAGTTATGTTTATTATTTATAAATTTCTTTTTTTTAACTTATATTTAATAACATCGCTATGATAAATAATTAAATGAATAAAGTCAGAGATAAAACACCTTTTAATTTAATCATTATTGTTGCTTGTTTATTATTCTAATTACTTATGTATATAGGTAAAGAAAATTTTTAATATCTATTTATTTATTATAAAAGACATACACCTAAGTGATCAAAAATCTGTAAATGTTTATATTGGACATTTTATTTCTACTTATACTTGCAATTGGATGCTTCAAACAAATTTTTACATATATGAATATAAAGGCAAAATTTGACTTTGAGGGTCAAATTATTTTCGGTTTTATTAACAACCTGCCTTAAAATTTTTCTTAAAGCAGATACATATGATGAAGAAGTTATATCTCAAATTTGGTGGTGGTTGCTACACAGCAAGGGTATCAAATGAGGGGTGAAGACATTCGATTATAAAATTTTACTATGATGCAGGTTGTCCAAATTTTACAACCTCCTATAGATCGGTGAAAAAATGTCACGCGACTACTAATACTAATGCTAATAGTAACATTAATTACCTGATTCGGACAATTTCCGGTAGGATTAACCTATTTCGGGAAATAGTAATAGTAATAAAAATAATACGTAGGATTATTCTATCGGAAATTGTCCGATATATATTAATATTAATATAGTTACAAGTGTTCTTATTATGATAAATAATAATAATACTAATACAGAGAAGTGATTGACAAAATATTGACTTTTAATAATTAACAAAATTTATTTTTTATATTATTGATCAAAGCGCAAATACTTTCTTAAATTTTTATATCATTGTCGAGCCTACTTTCTTATTCATTTATATAACTGGATCTTGAACTAATATGTTTGATCGATATACTCCTGTGTTACAGCTCTATCAGTCAACTCTTGGATTTTTATCTCGTTAACAGAAAAAAAAACAAGTACAAAGCAAGTTTAAACAACTTGATTGAAAATCATTTGAATTGTGACTAAGAATAGGTTTCTAGGTGTTTTCTATAGAGGTCCAATTGAAATCCAACACTGTTAATATTAATGGTAACACGAAAAATGACAAAATTGCGATAACAATAGTTTTTATTTTATTTTATTTCTGCATTTTCATAAAAAAGCCATCGATTTTGGTGTGTAACTTGATGTCGTAGAAGCAATTGAATAAAACTCACAAAAATACACTAATAAAATCTCTTACTATTCCCTGTCTTGTGTGTCATTTGGTACCACATCAATTTTAAATATATATATATATATATATATATATTCACGATCTACTTCCATCAATTTCATTTACTATTATTACCAATATTACCAAGCCAAGAAAAAAAAAATAAAAAATCAAAAGAATAAAAAATGTATCCAGGACAACAATATAAAAATCAACACGGAAAAGAACAAAATCCGAGTTATCCAGGTTCACAGCAATCAAATCATCAACCACCTCCTACACAACAATATCCACAATATCCACAATATCCACAATATCCGCAACATCCACAACAACAACAACAGCAATACTCGCAACAATCGCAATATCCGCAATATCCAAATTCAACTGGAGGTTTCGTTATGCCACAAGCATTCCCATCAACAGTCGGTGGATATGCGCCACCACCAGGTCCGCCACCACCATTATCCAGTAATTACAATTACCCATCACCATTTCCACAATCAACTGGAACTTATCCACCACCTACTAGTAATAACGGTTATCCATCACTTCCAACGTCTACACAATATCAACCACCACCAGGACCGCCGCCGCCTATTGATAATAA